TGGAGGGGGGGTGTGCGTGTCTGGGGGTGCCTTTGGGAAGAATTTAATTTAAAAAGGGGAAAAAAAAAAAAAGTATATATATAAGTAACCGTAGGGAAAGAAATCTTAAAGCACCGTCTCGAAACATGCCCGGGGTCTTTTTCCTGACTGTTCCCCCCCCCTCCCCCGCCCCCTACTCGCTCATCAACCCCACGGAAACCCACGGGCGTGCGTGGATGCGGGATGCAGGCGTGGATGAGGGATGCAGGGGAGGGGTTAGCATCCCCCCTCCTTCTCCAACTTGTTGGGAAAACTTTGGGACCCTTATAAAACATGTGCATTTTACAATTGCAGTATCAAATATTTATAACGGGATGAAATATGAATGTTTCTATTTACGACTGTGCGCTCAAAATTGTGAACATTCTCGCTGCGTTTTGTGTGTTTCAATTCTCGAGGATTGCATTGAATAATAACAATAAACAAAACAAAACAAATCAAAACCAAAACCAACAAACCCCAAAACACCCCGCTTTATTACGGAATCCAAACCATGTCACCAGACGTTGCAATGCTCTTCGGGACTGTGTATCCCTATAGGTTTAGATGGTCTTTTAGGTTCCACTTCTGAGCGTTGGAGCTGGAATTAGGGGTATTTGGTAGTTTCAGGGATTTGGAGGGCTGGGAATTCCGTGGCGATTTTGCAGCCAAGAGTTTGGTTTGCAGCCTTTTTGACTCCGTGGAGAAACTTTTGGGGGCTTCATTTCCAGGCGGAGGAGAGGGGCGACCTCCAGCCCCCACTCAGCCCGGCTCCGGGGCACCCGGCGTGGTAAAAAAAAGGACCCGAAAACGACCGGAAAAAAAAGAAAATCTCTTTAATCTCACGTCCTGTCAACAGGTTTCACCTTTTCAAGACTTTCAATACCCGGTGGTGTCGATGCCCTGGCAGGGCTGCTTTTTGGAAAAAACCTCTGCTAGATAAACACGTAGACCTGGAGCTCGGGAAGAGAGGTGGTGGGATTTTGCCGATGCCACGCTCCGAAACCAAGCCCCCTGCTAAAATACTTGGCATCCCCCGGAAAATGACAGGACCACGGGTTTAGGACAGGCTGGATAGAAATAAAACGGTGACCCGCCTTGCTGCACCAAAAGGGCACAAGAGCTCCCAAATATTCCGAGCCTCACTCCTGCCGAGGAGACGCACTCACAGATAAAACTCAGGGGGTGGGGAGGTGTGTGGGGGGGCAAATTTTATTTTATTATATTTTTTTAAAGCTGCTCCAGGAGCAGAGATGCCGCTGGGATGGTGACACCGAGGGGTTCACCTGCCCGGAGACGGACCGAGAGCCGCGGGCGGCGGCGGGGAGCGGCGGGGGAGGCTGCCGGGCTCTGCCTTCCCAAACCGGGCTTTATTTCTCCAGCCTTGCTGGTTTACATCCCTTTGAGGAGGTTTTTCTTTTCTTTTTTTCTTTTTTTTTTTTTTTTGGATCACCTCCACTCATGGAGGCAGGTGATTTATAACCCCGAGGGAGAAAATCGGTGGCGGTGAGGACTAAAGAGGAATTTTAAATCTGGATTGAAAAAAAAAAAAAAGCTCCGGTTGGGACACCCGGTACCGTGGGGGTGTTGCTCACAGCGGAGAAGTCCCACGGAGGTTTTATTTATTTTTATTTTTTTTCAAGAAGCCACTAAGGCTGCAGCGAGGGAAATTGTGGCCCCACTCCGAAGGGTGCAGTGGGGCAAACTTTCCACCTGTCCTTCCCCAGCCTGCAAGAAGAGCTGGGAACAGAAAACAGATGTGTGACACTAGAAGGAATATGGATTTAGCTTTAGGTTAAAAACCAAAACAAAAAAAAAAACTAGTAGGGAAACTTCTCTAAGTTGGTTCAGCCTCTGGAGCAAGGACAGAAAATACCTCGTTGCTGCCTGAATTTTATCCAGACCAAAATACAATATATTTGCACCAAAAATTAATATATTTGCACCAAAATACAATATATTTGCACCAAAAATACAATATATTTGCAATTGGTCAGCGGGGCTTTCAGCTGGGAGCAGCAAACGGCTCACACGGGCTGCGCTCCTCACCTGCCTCCCATATATTCTTTTTGGGAAGGTGGGGGGGGGGTTAAGGGGGGAGAAAGCTTTCATGGGAAGAGGCACAGGTTGGGAGAGACTTGTTCTGCTCCTCCTTTCGCCATCTTTTGAGGCGCTGCCGGTTCCCGTGCGCCGCCCAACCAGCGCTCCCACGCCCGGGCAGCGGCTCCCCGCTGGCTCGGGGAAGGACAGCACAACTAAATTAGCCCTCGTTAATTTAAAATGTAAAATTAATTTAACAAGAGAGGGCTGGCCGCACAAGAGCCTCTCGCAATTTTAGCCACCGCTTGGCTGGAGGAGCCTTTCTGAAAAAAAAGACCAAAAAAAACGCAGCCCCAAATCACACCAGCCCCGAAGCCAAGCCAAAATCACCCC